TCTGTGACACCAGGGAATCAACAGCTTGTCTAGACTCCAGCAGACAAAAAAAGAGATGCTGTCTTCAGCTAGGAGTGAGAGGCTCTGTAGCACGAGGCCATTTGTAAAAAGCTGCCCGAGCAGCAGGAGGGTGTGAAAGAGGGATGGACACAGGCCAGACACCTGCATCTCTCCCCAGAGCTGCTGGGAATGATCTGGGGTAAACCCAGAGATCAGGAGTGATGTGCACAAACACCTGCAGAGCTTAAACTGACCCTAGAAACCCCCCAGGACAAGGCAGGACTTGGCTTCCAGACACCCTACCCAGTCAGACTGAGAGGCTCTGTCCCACCAAAGGGAACCAGGCCTGCTCAGCCAAGGCTGGGACACAGCTCCTGCTCACCCCATGCAGCTCCAGGGAGACTTTTCCTCCCTGGTGGCCATTCTGTCACCAGATACGCACATCACCTGTGACCTTCCAACTGTCACATGCAAAAATGGCTCCAGAGACATTTCAGATCATCCAACAAAATCACATCTGTTGGTATTGCCCCCCTGAGAAAACACTGTGGCCCAGAACCTTCCTCTTTTGTGTAAAGTGTTTTCTTTAACAGAACAGATTGCCCCCAGTGCTGCTGCTCCCACCTCCCTCATCCCAGGCCAACAGAGCCCTGCCACCACCACAGCATCAAAGTCAAAGAGCTCTGGAGCAAGCTGCAGGCTGGGAAGGGTCCAGATGGAGAGCCCTGAGGGCTCAGACAAGCTGCTCCGCCTCACACAAGGTATGGCACAGCTCTCTGGCAGAGCCCTGGTGCCTGGGATAATCACATTCCTGCCTGCCGTGTGGACTGCTATTGAAAAGCACGCGTGACAGGCACAGCCTGTTATTACAGGTTTGAGCAGCTTCTTCCCAGCAGGGCTTGAAACTCAGTTTGGGCCTCCAGGCACTGCAAGCATCAAAAGGATCCATTTTCTCTGAGCTGCCTTCAGATCCCAAACACCTGATGTAGCACACGCTCCATGCAACCTTCAGAAATCCCTCAGGGTTTTTATTCCCAATTTAGTCCTTGGTCACTCTCTCTCTGTTCTTACAAGTGCTAGGAGTGAGTCTCTATGGCTTTATCCCACATTTTGTTCTCCATCATTCCCCACACAGGCTGTCCTGGAGCTCCCTGGCAGGGCCTGTGCTCCCTTCCCATCATCCTGCAGATTCCTCTTCTTGCTTGGAGCATGGATTGGAAAACCCTCCAGAGAACAAGGAAATCACAGGAAGAGCTCCCTCGTCATTCCTGAATACATCCATGTGTCACACAGGGCTGCCCTCAGCACGAATTTTATTCTAGCTGCTTGTTTCAACATTAAATAAGGAAAAGGGAGCTCCATCTGTGTGTGGAAATCAATGTTTTACACAGCAGTGCTTTGCCATCCCAGGCTGATGTATAAGATTTATAATATATATTATATAAATATATATATTTATATAATATAATATAATATAATATAATATAATATAATATAATATAATATCTATATCTTTATAATATAAAATATAGATTTATTATCTATTAAATATAACATATGAATATATATTTATTATATATTAATATAAATAAATTAATATCCTGTATAATATTTATTGTGACTTCTTGAGCTTGTTGAGTTTCATGTTTCAAAGGGCTCCTCTGTTGCAATATGACATGAAATGAATGACACTTCCACACTGAGATGTTTAAGGTAAAAAAGGTGGGTTTATTTCTGGATTTTGGTATTTATAGAATTTTTAAAAGTGACTATGGATTGGAGGATGAAATTGTTATTTTTTTAATTATACTGGTTAAACTAACAGTTTATTAATTTTTTTTTTAGAAAAAAATACAAAACAATTATTATTTACATAAAAAGTCTGGGAAAAACTCCATTACAAAAATGTAAATATCAAAAAAGCTTAAAAGATCTTTTAAAAACCAGGGTAACACTCCTCAGAGGCGATGGCAGCTGAAAAGGCAGGACCTGGCTGCAGTGAAACCACGGGGGCAGCACAAAGAGAAGAGCTGGCACGGTTGTATCAGCCTGAGAACAGCAATTGGCACATCCCTGTGGTGCAGGATGGATATCTGGGATGATGCCCGAGGTTTCACACCCTGGTGTTATCCTGAAGGTGATATCAGCTCTGCCAGTTGACTCCAAACCCAGCCCCTGCCTGCACTGATTACCCAAACACACTCTCAGGGCATGCCTAGGCTGGGCTCCAGCAGCCTGGAGAGGGAATCAAGGCTTGGGAGAGCTCCTCAGAGCAGGCCCAGATGGCCTGGGGAGCCAACACCCCTCGGCACAGCCCTCCTGTGGCTGTCCCAGCACGGCTCATCCCCACTCAGAGCAGCACAGAATGGTTTGGGCAGGAAGGCACCTCCAAAATCATTCGGTTCCACCACCTTCCACCAGTCCAGGCTGCTCCAAGCACCATCCAAATTGAAATAATTTTCTTTTTCTTCCCTGCAATCTAGCTAGAGACCTCCCATCCTTCTTTGTCTCTTCTGTCTCATCTCCTCTCTGCCCTGATCAAGCTGCTGCTGGAAGCTAAAGAGGATCCTGACACTTCAGTGATTGCACTTTATCGCTGATTATATTCGCTGTCATCACATTTTACTTCTCCTGTCAGAGCAGCCCAAATGGGCTGTGTTAAAATGATTCCCAACTCGACAGGGACCCAGCCCAAAGACTGCCAGAGTCAGGTTTTAAGCCATACAGCCTTATTAGGTGATTCCTTCCCCTTCATCCTCAGGGAAATGTGCCATCTGGCCACTAGAATTGATGAGACTCCCTGTATTAATTTCACCGGGCTCAGATCAGCCCTTGAAATCTACTCATTAGCATCTTGAGTTAGATCTGCTGCGTTATCAGGTTAAATACATTTTTACATCCCTTAACTCCTGCCAGCTCTGCTGAGCTGGTTTACAGAGCAGAAGAGAGCTCTGCCTTTCATTCCAGCTGCTTGATCTTCAACAGCTTCTTAATTACATCCTCATCAGACTCTGCTGGCAGTGACGCAAGAGCCAGCACTAACACAGAACTCGCTCCATTCGGGGCCACTGTCCCATGCTGATCATTTCTGTTGCTGTTAATCAAAGAAAAAGATCCTGGGGCACTTTTGAGGACCACACAGCAGCTCAGGATGCTCTCTGTGCAAAGCCATTTTTTCAGGGCAAAGTCACTAAATCAAATATTTGGCTGTGTCAGAAAGGATTCGGTCCAGTAGGAGGGCTGGGGAAGGAGTCCCTGCTCATGGGGGTTGGAACTGAATGATCTCTAAGATCCCTCCCAACCCAAACCATTCTGTGATTCTGTGACTCAGGAAGTTCCTCAAGAGCAGCTTTCTCTGCCCAGCTGCTTGTTTATGTTTCTTGCTTACTTTAAGTTGTTGAAAGTTTATAGTGAAACTCACAGACCAATTAGAGTTGGCTTTTCAGGGCGAATTCTCAGAGAAATCTCTTTTTAGAGGTTCTTCTTAAACACAAAAGGGGAAACACTTTGGAACAAAACTTGGATGGGTTTTATAACCACAATGTTGCTAATATCCTGGCTCAAAAACATCAAAGTCCTTCTGGTGCCCTACTCAGGGTGAGTTTCCTTCTCTCCACAGAGCTTAACCAGGGGTTGGGACTGACCCCTCTCTGCACCACTGACAGGACCATCCCCTGTCTCCACCTATGGGGGTCCCACTCCCAGAATCACCCCCTCTTCCCACCCACGGGGGTCCCAAGAGCAGGATCACTTTTCCCATCAGCTGGGGGTTCCACTAATGGGACCGAACCCTCTCCCCAGTCACTGGGGGTTTCACTACCGGGATCACCGTCTCTCCCATCTGGCGAGGGTCGCACGGGCAGGAATGGCCCCTCTTCTCACGGTGTGGACATCCCACTGCCGGGATCATCCCTGCTCCCCATCCATGAGCATCCCACTGCCAGGACCATCTCCTCTCTCCATTCACGGAAGTCCCACTGCTGGGATCATCCTTTCTCCCCATTCACGGGAGTTTCCCTGCCAGGACCATCCCCTCTCGCCATTCAGGGGAGTCCTACTGCCGGGACCATCCCCTCTCCCCATTCACGGGGGTCCCACTCCTGGGATCACCTCCTCTCCCCATCCATGAGCATCCCATTGCCGGGACCATCTCCTCTCCCCATTCACCATCTTCCTGCCGGGACCATCTCCTTTCCCCACCCGTGGGGGTCCCATTGCTGGTATCATCCTCTCTCCCCATTCACGGGGGTCCCATTGCCGATATCACCTCCTCTCCCCATTCACGGGGGTCTCCCTGATGTGACCATCTCCTTTCTCCACCCGCGGGGGTCCCACTGCCAGAACCATCCCCTCTCTCCATTCACCATCTTCCTGTCGGGACTATCCCCTCTCCCCATTCACGGAGGTTGCCCTGCTGGGACCATCCCCTCTCCCCATTGACAGGGGTCCCATTGCCGGGATCATCTCCTCTCTCCATTCATGGGGGTCCCACTGCCAGAACCATCCCCTCTCTCCATTCACGGGGGTCCCACTGCCGGGACCATCCCCTCTCTCCATTCACCATCTTCCTGTCGGGACCATCCCCTCTCCCCACCCGCGGGGGTCCCATTGCTGGTATCATCCTCTCTGCTATTTCACGGGGGCCCCACGGCAGGGACCATCCCCTCTCCCCATTCACCATCCCCTTTCCCCACCCGCGGGGGTCCCCCAGCCGGGACCATCCCCTCTCCCCATTCACGGGGGTCCCATTGCCGGGACCATGCCCTTTCCCCATTCACCATCCCCCAGGCGGGCCCATCCCCTCTCCCACACGCGGGCCCGGGCCGCGCCCTGCCCGCGGGTGCGGTGCGTTCCCCCTCCCCTCCCGTGCCGAGCCGTGCCGTGCCGAGCCGGGCCCGCCCCCGGCCGGTGCCCCCGCGGAGCCGGGACCGGGCTGGCGGCACCCCCGCCCCCGGGCCGGCGCCGCCCGGGCAGTGCGCAGGCTCGGCTCGGCTCCGCACACCCCATCATGGCGCTGCGGCGGCCGGAGCTGCTCCGGCTCCTGCTCCTGCCCCTGCTCGGTGAGTACCGGCCGGCAGCGCCCGCACCGCCCCGCACCGCCCCGCACCGCCCCGCACCGCCGGGCGCTGTCCCCGTCCGCAGCCCGGAGAGGGGAGGGAGGAGGGATGCGATGCTCCCGTCCGGAGCCGAGATACACAGAGGGAGCAGGGATGCGGTGTCCCTGTCCCGGAGCCGGGGAGGGAGACGCTCCCCCCGTCCGGATCCGAGATTCAGAGAAGGAGGAGGGATGCAGTGTCCCTGTCCCGATCGCGGAGTCAGGGAGGGAGAAGGGATGCGCTGCTCCCGTCCCCATCCCGGAGTCAGGGACGGAGGAGGGACGCGGTGTCCCTGTCCCCATCCCGGAGAGAAAGAAGGAGGAGGGATGCGCCGCCCCGCTTGCGATCCCAGGGAAAGGGGGAGATGCGCTGGCCGGTCGGGATCCCGGACAGGGAGGGAGGAGGGATGCGCTGCCCTCGTCCCCATCCTGGAGTGGGAGGAGGAGGAGGAGGGATGCGCTGCCCCGGTTGTGATCCCAGGGAAAGGGAGAGATGCGCTGACCCCGTCACCATCCCGGGGACGGGCTGGGATGCGCTTCCCCTGCCCTTTCCCCTGCCCCTGCTCCTGTTCCTGGCTCCTGCCCCTGCCTGGCTCCGGGAAAGGGAAGGGAGGGCAGGGATGCGCTGCCCCTGCCCTTGCCCCTTGCCCCTGCTCCTGCTCCTTCCCCTGCTCCTGCTCCTTCTCCTGCCCCTGTCCCCGTCCCTGCCCCTGCCTGGCCCCGGAGAAGGGAAGGGAAGGGAGGGATGCGCTGGCCCGAGCGCGGGGGGATGCGGGGACAGCGTGGGAGCTGCCGGGATGGGGACGGGCCAGCACACGGGTCCAGGGCCAGCCGGCAGCACGGACCCGCCGGATGCTGCAGGGAGCGTGGGACGCACACAGCGCGGGGGGAAACATCCCAAAACCCAGCTCAGCAAGGAGCGGCTCCAGCGCTGAGGGTGCCAGGAATGTGCAGGCTCGGCAGGCAGGCAGGGAGGACACTGGTGCCTATTCAAGACCAGGCACAGGCGCCTATTGTTCGGGGGGCCCCGCGTGAATGTTTGCAGTTTTAATTGCAAAAACATTTGCTAATTCCGCTCAGGAATGAATTTGGGCTCATTTGTTGTCTGGCTATTATTAGCTGGGGGATGAGGAGGGGGACAGCAGCCGGTGGGCTCGTGTTGTCCTCCCCCCTCTGCCCAGATGGCAGGAGGAGAGGATGGGGTGGAGTGGGGTTAGGCTGACAACCAGCCTACAGCTGAGTACCAAAATACACGGGGCTGAGCGTGTACACACTCACCAGTCACTGTTTTGGGTCAACATTCAAGGCAGTGAATGGAAATATTTCAAACAGTTTATCTAAGGACAAAAAACACTCCTCCAGTGACTCCAGAGAGCTCGCAGAGTCGCTTTGGGTCTCAAGTAAAGTGAGGTTTGGGCACTATTTACCCAATCAGTCAGCGGAGGGGTGTGAAGATGACTCTGACACTCATCCCCAACAAGCAGAGGGTTGTCACACGCTCCAGACTCTGGTGTTCACTTGCTTTGCTGTGGTTTGGAGCAGAAACAGCTTCAGCAGGAGGAATCAGGAGTGCCTGATCCCAGAGCATCACACAGTCTGCCCAGCGCTAGCTTTGGATTCAGCTGCTCCCTTTGATTGGGAAAAACCACAGATTTAACACGACTTTCCCTGGCAGAGGGGCTGCAGGACAGAAAGATTCCCCATTTCCTTCCATGATATGTGAGCAGAGCCCAAGTGTCCTGTTGAATCTGGCCTAAAAGACAGGAGGAATGGAAGCAAACTCCAGATATTTCTGTGTTTCTTCAGACAGAGAATAGTTGCTAAAAGCAGCCAAACCCCACTGGTTTCACACCTCTGCCTGAGAGCATTTACCTGGTGAGTGAGCCCAGTGGTGCCAGGCCTTGCTTTCCATTAAATTCAGAGTGCCTCATCCTGTGTTGATTTCCAGTAATGTTTGAACTTGGGGTCACAAGCCCAAAAGATTGGGCAGAGTGAGGTTGAGAATAAAAAGGGTTCTTCCACCACGCCTGACTTGAGGTGCTGGGGGCACCCCACTAAAAGGGGGTTATGCTGCCAGCAGCACATGAAATTAGACATGCACTGAAGCCTGCAGGGCTGGTGCTGGATAGTGGGACGGGAGTGTGACTGGAAGGATGCGTTTGTGCCAACTGATTACTTGGGGGAGAGAAAAGAAAAAGGCATGAAAAGAAGGAGACAAAGCTCCCAAGATGCTGAGATCCCTGCTCTGGACTCTGAGGTGCTGCTTTGACTCCGAGTGCTGCGAGCTGGGCTTGCCTCTGCTGTGTGCTGCTGCCAGAACAACCCCAGTTCTTGCTCATGGCCTTAAAACATTGCCTTGGAAGGGGAGCCAGTGAAGCATGGAGTGTTCAGAGCATTCCCAGCTCTAGGCACTGAAAGCCTCTAAAGGTTCCGCACATCAGGGAAATGCCATGGCCACGATTAGAGCAGGGGAAGCTCTCGTGGCGCTGATGGAGAGCGGGGCTGACTTCAGTTCCACCTCCAGCTCTCCCTCCTTGCCAGCTTCCCCGTGGAAACAAATATTTGGATTTTAGAGGATTTCACAGGCTGGGCTGAGGGCAGAGCTGTGGAGACCCTCCCAAAACTCTCGAGTATTTCCTGTTGAAAATAGAACGTGCTGATAGCTTGTAGTCCTTGATGGGGAGAGATGGGCAAGTCTCAGGCACATTTAAGTTTTAAAGCTCATTATATTCAAATCTCCTTTTGATTTAATTCTGAGGGCTTGGTAATAGGTTGGATTTCGCAAAAGGCTTTTTAAAATCTATGGAGTAGAAGTTCTCATTTCCTTTTTTTTTTTTTAATATATGAAGTCCATCTGTCCCAGCCACCAACAACTGTTCTGAGTCAGCTGTCAGTGCCAAAAACCACTCGGTGGAAATGTTGTTAGCTCCCTTGCAGCGATGATAAGTTGCTTGTTGGTATTTTCTGATGGGAAGTATTTGTAGTATCGCTTTCTTTTCAACAGGCAGTAAAAAACCGGGACAAACGGCTTTGAGAGCCCTGCCAAAATCAGATGCTTAATAACATCTTCCAAAAAATTCCTAGGGAGGGCTTGGTGTTCCTTTTTGGGTAAGCAGGGTCTGGCATGGACACCAAAGAGTGGTTGGATGCACATCTCCTTTACAGCTGTTGACAAAGAAAGTGACACCAGCACATTCCCTCTTGCCCCGAATGCTTCTGAGAATTTCTTGGTTGCTGAAACACGAGGAGATCCAAAGAGTAAAATGTGTTTGCTTTAGCCTGTGGACTGAGATGTTGCTCTGCTTTGTGAGCTTGGGTTCTTTCAGTGTTTATTTTCCCTGTACAAGTTGAATGCTGGGTCTCTTGGCCTGCTGCTGTTGTTTTTCAATTATCCGTCCACACACAGAGGATTTGCACCAGGGACACGCTTGGAGTTGCCAAAAAATCACCTAAACAAGTAAATAAAGCAGAATGAGCTGCTGCATTTAGCTCCACCAACAAGGACAAAAGCTGGGGGTGGCCTGCTGCCAGTTTGCCCCTAACTTTAGCCATCCCCAAAGGGCACAGCAACGATTGGCCCCCACTCACTCCTGCTTCCCCTGCAGCTTGCTTGGATTATTAGTTAAGTTTCTCTTGCAAATTGGGCTGGCTGCTGGCTCGTCCTCTGCCATGAGTGTTTGTGTGTTGAAGCAGAACTGGCCTCCCAGTTGTATATTTAGAGCTAATGCTTCACAGTTGATTGCATCAAGCCCCGATGATCCGGAGAAGGTTCGTGAACTCCTTATGGAGCCCGCCTGAAGTGGTGGGAGGGAGTTAGCAAAGGCAAAGATTTCCACAGGCCAGCAGCATCCCGAGTCCTCAAGAGTCCTTGTCTCACACAACAAGAGCTTGTGTTGCCAGCATGCCCCTCAACAAGATAAAACCACTGTTCTGTGCAAAAAAATAATAAAAAAAAAAAAAAAGCCGGTGGCCTGCTTGGAAACTGCAAAAGGAGATGAGTTCCAGATATAAAATTAATTAGGGTAATTACATTCTCAATCTGGCTTCTCCATCGACGGGAATCGGAGCTGCAGCGTCTTCTCCTGATTGATAAGGGCTGGTTGCCTTCCCCCCGAGCCCCCAGGGAGTATCATGTTGTTGTGAGACAGCATCAAACCCCAGCTAAGCGCTGAACATCGCTCCTGGGAGGTGGAGGAGTCAGGGCGTGTGCACAAACCCCAGTCCTGGCTGAGTCAGGCATGGCCTCAGAACCAGCTAATGGCTTTAATTGCGCTAATGAATGTCCTGGACACGGCCTGAAATTCCCCCCAAAGGGCCTGGATTGCTGCTTGGGTGCAGTTCTGGCAAGAGTTGTGCTTGGGGCAGAGGAAATACCTGCTGGGTCACAGCGCTCCAGCTCCCTGCTGGAAACCAGCGGTTTCACTTTTCAGAAGAATAAATAATAATAGCATAAAAACTGGACCTTTTTTTGGCTGGAAAGTTCGGGTCTTTGTTTGCTTGTGACCCTTCAGAGCACCAACAGGAATAACCTAAGGGGAGAGGTGTGGTTTGGAGAGTTTCAATTCTTTTTTTGTGGCCATTTAGCAAAATAAATCAGTGAGGAACAGGACAGCGAGTTCATGGGGTTCATCATTCCTTGGGGTTCCCCAAAATAAATGTGGGGAACAGGACAGTGAGGAGTTCATGGAGTCCATTCTTAGGTTTCACCAAAATTAATCTGTGGGGAACAGGACAGTGAGGAGTTCATGGAGTCCATTCCTTGGCCTTCACCAAAATTAATCTGTGGGGAACAGGAAGTGAAGAGTTCATGGAGTCCATTCCTTGGGGTTCCCCAAAATTAATCTGTGAGGAACAGGACAGTGAAAAGTTCATGGAGTCCATGGGTTTCTCCAAATCTGTAGAACAGGACAGTGAGGAGTCCATGGAGTCCATTCTGGGCCTTCACCAAAATAAATCTGTGGGGAT